TCTGTGCAGCCTCTTATGGCCCCAGAAGCCTCACATCCAAAAGCTCAATTCACTTGGACTGGGCAGGGGACCTCGTTCTGTTCTTCCTCACACTGCCGGGACTCTGGGCGCTCGTGGACCCCCACGCCTCGCGGACCGAGCTGTGTGGAAGTGGGCGGGGCCCTGGCCAAGTCACCCAGTCCTCTGAGGGTCGTTGTTCTTGCGTCAGGAGGGGACAGCCACCGTCTCCGCTGTTGGGAGGGCCAGGCCACACGGCGCGGGGAGCTGCTCCACCCTAACGGTGTCGCCCCTCCCAGCCTCTGGAGCAGCTTTCTCTCCCTGCTTCCTCACCTTCTCCCTCGCCCTCCTCTACAACTCAGTGAATTGAGTTTCCCCTCCTCCTGAGACAGAGATGGCCCTGGGTGCTCAAAGGGGGGCACCTCCCCACATCAGGGGGCCCTCAGGGGCTCCGCTCCATGGCCACCTATGGGCACGCGGGTCAGAGCCAGTGCTTAAAATCACAGAAGCCAGGGACAGCCTCGGGCTTCTCCCCCCAGAGGGATGTGATGAGGTCTGATGAAGGGGGCCGGGCCCACAGCAATACTGACTTTGCGGATAGTGTAGCTCTCCCCCCAGGGCCTTAACTTGCCTGGAGAAGATTCTGGAAATATCTGGTTCTGGGGCACGTTCTGCAGCATGGGCATGGCTTGGGGAGACTGTGACCATCTTCATCGCTCTGTTCTAGAGCTGAAGAGGGAAGGACCCTGTGCAGGCTGTGCTCCCGAGTCGCCTGCCCATGTGGCCTCTGACACGTCTTTTATCCCATCGGTGAGCCCTGCAATAAATAGCTCTCCGCCCATCCCAGGGTCTCCTGAGAAGGCCTGGTGCCCGGAGTGTCCCCTGTGGGCAGAAAACAAAGTCCGCGTCCTCCACGGAGGAGGGTGAGGGGTGGACCCGAGAGCAAAAGGCAAATGACCAGCTCCCAGGCCCCTGTGCTGCGCAGCCTGCGGACTGCAGACCCTGTCCGCCTTCGAGAGGCCCTTCCCAGCTCGCCGCTCCTCCGCATGACAGGGAGAAGGAAACACAGTGAACCCAGGAATTACGAGCCGAGCCAGGCAACGGCGCTCTCCACTGCTGGGAAAGAGTCATTGTTTGAAGGCAGTGCTGGGTGATTTGAGAGAAAACGTGGATGGGGGAGGGGGAAGGATGCTTCCATAGGAAACCTAGTGAGTGGGGGTAAGGTGACAGGGCAAGTCTGGTCAGGGGAACGGGACCTGGGAGAGGAACAGGAGAAAAATCCTGTGAAGGGGCAGGGTTAGGGGTACGGCTCCAAACCCGCTGTGTTAGCTACCCGTGAGTCGACCTCACGCTTTCAGTTGCCGGAGCAGGCCTGAAATGGGGACCGTGCGTGTCCTGGGGGGTCCTGGGGAGCGCGGAGCAGTGAGGTGGGGACTAAGGAACGGACTTCTCTCTGTGCTGTCTTCCTGGGAGCCTTAATCCAGTGGGAGAGACACATACATTCTTACTCATGGAATATACATATGAAAAAGCTCTTCATAAAGCAACACAAACACCATTAAATATACGTGTCTGTGAGGAATGCATGTTTCCCA